CAACAAGTGGTGCGGGAGTCGAAACTCTCGTCGGCGGCATGACCGACTTTCGCCAGGTCTTCCGGAACAAGTTGGCACGCCAACTGATAGCAACAGCTACAAAACAGAACGAGTTCACGTTCCATGTGCACGCACTCAGACAGAGTGTTCAACTGAACGGACCAAGGCCAGAACAGAACAAAACAGTTCGCTTCCGACTCCACTTGAGAACTGCATGCAGCCTCGTGAAATCGACATCAAATTCACACCTCTGCGTGCTCGAGTAAACAAGAGCTCAGAGTTCAGCATGGACCAGTGCACACCGAGTTACGACTACTCTGCCGGAGCAACAGCAAGACGCAACTTGGATCCTGGTCACAGCACCAAATGTCATGGCCGGTGATCCATCTGGAACTCCCTTCAATTTAGACTACGTCTTTGGGAAATCCTCAAATATATAATAATAATAATAATAATCTAGTGGCACCAGGTAGACGACCAATATAGTTGATTCAAGCAGATAAGTAGCTCACCTGTTTTCCGGCTCACACAAGGTAGTCAGAGGTTGAAGGGAAGCGATCAGAAGATATCTTTATTTGTTGGAAGAAGGTGGCTTTTATGTGATTTTAGATATAGTATAATTGTATATAATAATTTGTATGAAATATTAGTATAGCTTAGTATAGCTTCGGGGAGCTCGCTCACCCACATTACAGGAAAGAATTACAACTATCAGTAAAGTCCGAGGGTACTCGTACGCGATCGTGCGACGGAGCCTGGAGTACGCTGTCGGAATGTTGCCGCAGCTAGAGCGCGCCGCCTTCGTACGGTGACTTGATTGGGTCACCTTCATCTTCTGCCCCGTAGGCTCTTCCCTCTCATTACCCCGTAGGGCGCTGCACGGTCAAGCCGTGACCTCTCCCAAAAAAGGGATAACGGAGTCCGCAGTGCGCGAAGCACTTGCAGGACCCTTTACGTCGTAGGACGCGAGAAGAGGTGCCGTACTTGCTCGACTAACAAAGGTATCAGCTCCCTTGCAGGACTAAGCAGGGTCCCCTCAAGCTCAACAGTGTAGTGAGTACAATGCTGACGACTTGTACTGAAGGTGTTGCCGACGTACGACAACACTTGCGACTCTAGGCCACGAGTTGTAAGCCATGATTGCTCAACTAACGAAAGTGCCAAATCCTTCGCGGGACTAATCATGGTTCTTACAGAACTCTAGAATATTTCGGAGCCCAGCTTTTGGCTGCTGAATCTCATTGCGTGGTCGCTTTCACGACGAGTCGAGTCCGGGTCATGACAAAGGTATGTTGAATAGACTTGACTGTGAGTGACTGAATTTCGTTGCAGCGTGTCGTACATTTGATTGGTTGAACTATGCAGTGACTAGGTGTCACGTGAGTCACGTGAGGTGCACCTACCACCACCATGTCCTACATTTGTACAGCTGTCTATGAGATCAAGATTACATAAACACGAGAGTGTGTAACTCCGCTTGGTCTGGCCATGGCGGAATGTTTCGTTTTGTTGACTTTTCTGGAGATGATGAGTCATACCGTACGAGGCATGTGCTACGAGTCTGTGGGCGCGTGAGCTTGTACAGTTTTCATTAGGGGTCGTCCAAAAGAGGTTGCACGGGCCGTTGGTGTTTGAGCGCCATTGATTGCACTGCGAAAGAAACGATCGACTCTGTACGAGCTCTAGACTTTTGTACAGATTCCAGGACGCGCTCGATGCGTATTGAGAGTCTTGCTTCTGAGCGGCAAGATGACATGCACGACAGGTGACTGCCTTTGAGCGTGATTCGAGACGAGGAGAAGCGGAACAAGCTATGAAACGAGCAGCATCTGAATGTTTTCAGCTCTTCCTCCAGCGACGATAGTGGTGAGGAGGATGTGTAACTTGCTAGGATTTTCGGCTGAGTTGCTTTCTGACGTGTAAAGTATCTTATACATAGCGTTTTCTGATCGTGGCATGCTTCGAATATTTGTATTTTCGTTTTGAGACAAGAGTGAAGATAAGTGGCAATTTTAACTTGGCGGACAAAGTACTTCCTCCGTTAACAAAAAGTTCGTGATGGATTTTGAACGATAGGAAAACGCTTAGAATAGGTCAAGAACAGTTTGTATCGCCTGCAAATCACTGGACGAAGGTAGTTCAGCCTATGTACAGCATCTTTACAAGAGAAACTATTGGCAGAATGAGCAGATAGTTCAGTTTGCGTCGCTTTTGCTCGACTCATTTTGACCCTGGTTCGCTGCCGTCATCTGCTGCGCGCGAGTCGTCATCTTGTTCGAGTCGTTGTTCAGCTCGTTTCAGCCTTGCCTCGGCTTCTTTGATCACACTTGGCTGAACTTGATGTCGCCGTCGTTGAAGTAAGTGTGCTTTCAAGCTGCGTGATCCGCCGCGGTGGTGATTACTCGTTTCCACCAGGGAGTCGTAAAAAATATTTTACGACTCCCTGGTTTCATCTTTGCTCTCCAGAACTCCGCGAAACGAGGAGTAAAGGACTACTAAAGGCACAGCCAAACTGATTCCATTTTCTGTGATTGATACCCTGCCAGCACTGAACGGCAGCGGCTAGCAAGTCCAGTCGACTTTCTTTAGCCACGAGACTTGCGTCGGACTGCAGACTTCTGAAAGAATGCACGGTCATCAGCATTCAAATCTGGGCTTTGCGCAGGTTGAACAAGAACCTGAGTTCAGAATTATTTCATTGCGCCGTGCGATCGGAGCACCTCCTTGTTCACTCGCTCATTGTGTGGGCTCGCTGCTTTGTTCCATCGCTCTCAAACTCAGTGCTAGAGTAGTAGAGAGGCCAAGCAGCGTATTACCCCCCTCGGAGAAGTGATATTTCAATTTCGCTCGCCATTACTGTCCTCACCTATGTTGCCACAGCTCAACTATCGATTCCGCTCGCTTGTTGTGAAAGGTCACTTACCTTGCATCGTACCTTTTTCATGGCATGCCAGGGAAGGCCAAGAAAGTGATTGCGACTCATTTCACAGCAGTTTGTGTGCAAACCAGTCTCTCAAAAATCCATCACGAAGTTTTTGTTAACGGAGGAAGTAGGCCATTCACACGACGTGCAAACTCAAATTTATCGTACCGTTTCCAAGGATATTAACTCGCATACGATTAACTTGGACACACGCTTGCAACTAATTTTTGAACTTGGCCGGGGCCCTTGTGCTCACGATTATACTTTGCACACGAGCAAAAGTGCCGATGTTGAAAGTGCGCGCTGCAAATGTAGTGTGTGGGATATTTTTTCAAACGGGAATTTAAAAATTTAAAACCCAGGCCCACGGGTACACACCCAGGTCTGCGGGCATACCTCTGCATACGCACACACGCACGCACACACACACACACACACACCCACACACACACACACACACACACACATTCATGTGCACAAACATAATTGCAGACACTCCCACGCCCCGTCTGTGCGTACAACGACGTGCTCACGCACTCACTCACAAGCAATCAACACATAGGTTTGGGGGTTGCCATGACTTCAATTTGATTAAAGATAATAGTATGTGATGATAGACCAGTTCCAAGAAAACAAACGATAATAGTTGAGTCACATCATCACATTTGATCGTCAGTGATTCACACTGCCCACCGGGGGCAAACGCACGAACGGCCCACCGAGGGCTAGCCTGCATCTGCCCACCGTGGACCGGTGGCACAAGCGGCTAGCAAAGCCAACAGCCAGCCAACTGAGGGCTAAGTAATCCTGCCCGCCGTGGGCCGTTAGCATACTGCCCACCAAGGGCGCACAAATGGCCGACGTGGCCAGTAACCTGCCTGCTGCAGGCGCATGAATGGCCGCCGAGGCCAACAGCTTACCCATCGAGAGTTAAAGCATACGGCCCAACCGAGGGCGCGCGAAGAAGCGTATAGCCCAAGCGAGGGCGCATGATTATAGCTCGACCGAGGGCGCATGATTGTAGCCCGACCGAGGGCGCATGATTATAGCCCGACCGAGGGCGCATGATTATAGCCCGACTGAGGGCGCATGATTATAGCCCTACCGAGGGCGCATGATTATAGCCCGACCGAGGGCGCGTGATTGTAGTCCGACAGAGGGCGCATGATTGTAGCCCGACCGAGGGAGCATGATTTTAGCCCCACGGCGCATGATTATAGCCCGACCGAGGGCGCATGATTATAGCTCGACCGAGGGCGCATGATTATAGCCCGACCGAGGGCGTATGATTATAGCTCCACCGAGGGCGCATGATTATAGCCCGACCAATGGCGCATGATTATAGCTCGACCGAGGGCGCATGATTATAGCCCGACCGAAGGCGCATGATTATAGCCCGACCGAGGGCGCAAGAATAAGTGTATAGCCCAATCGAGGGCGTGCGAATGGCCGCCGAGGCCAGCAACCTGCCTACCGAAGGCTAAAGGATACTGCCCAACCGAGGGTGCACAACGGCCGTCGAGGCTAATAGCCTGCCCACCGAGGGCTAAAGCAAACTTCCCGCCAAGTGATAAAGCATAGTACCCACCGAGGGCCAAAGCATGCTGCCCACAATGGGCTGATTATATACTGCCCACCGAGGGCTAAATCATACTGCCTATTGAGCAAACGAACAGCCACCGAGGCCGACAACTTGCCCGCCAAGGGAAAAGCATACTGCCCGCTAGGGCCTAAACTATACTGCCCAGCGAGGTCAAATGAACGACCAGCGAGAGAGAGAGAGAGAGAGAGAGAGAGAGAGAGAGAGAGAGAGAGAGAGAGAGAGAGAGAGAGAGAGAGAGAGAGAGAGAGAGAGAGAGAGAGAGAGAGAGAGAGAGAGAGAGAGAGAGAGAGAGAGAGAGAGGGAGAGAGGGAGAGAGGGAGAGAGGGAGAGGAGAGAGAGAGAGAGAGAGAGAGAGAGAGAGAGAGAGAGAGAGAGAGAGAGAGAGAGAGAGAGAGAGAGAGAGAGAGAGAGAGAGAGAATGTCTAACACATATGTGTGATTTGTGCCTCTGTTTTTTTCTGACTCTCTATGAAGGAGGCCAAACAGCTGCAGGCAGGTTAGTGACAAATCAATTCTCAAACTTCTTTTCCGCCAAAAAGTTACGAGTCATGACCAGTGATGCACACGAATAGTCGAATAGTAATAAAGTTCGTTCGAAGAGCTGTACAATCATGTTCTATGTGTGGCATGCATGCTAGTTTTGTACGAGTACATGTGGACCCTGCGCTAGCGGCAATAGAGCTAGGGCCGCTGCTACAGATTACAGTACAGCGGTTACCGTACGTGTACTTGACGAATCCGGCCTGTGTGAGCGCTCGCCAGACAGTTAGTAGTAGTAACAATAGAGTGCCGGCACTGTAGTACAGTTGCGAAGGGCACGTGTAATTGTATGAGTACAGTGCACACACTGTACTGTTGCGAAGTGGGAGCCCATGGTGCCTTCTTCTTTACTACTTTAGTGCGGTCCAACTCACCCCTCTCTTTCACTTTGAAGAACGTTCTGGACATCCAGTTCGTTTTTCGTGATGGCTTCTGGCACAGCTGGTCGTAGCAGCTCCGTTTAGGAGCACTTCGAGAAAGTTGATGGAGGTGCAAAAGTTCAATGCAAACTCAAGTTCAATGGCTTGACTACGAGCTCAATGCGGGAACATCTTATCTGACGGCATGTTACTTGCTCGACGGCTGTAGCTGCCACGGATGCGAAGGTATCCCAGACAAAAAGCACAGACGCAATGCAGAAGTTTGTGGGCCGTCAAGAAATTTCAACGAACACTAGATTATTATTATTTTTATTTTTTATTTTTATTTTTTTACTAAGGCCACAGCTTCCAATCATGACATGCAAAGCAGCGGTGCAGCATCGCAGGCATGAATCGTGGACGTGGTGACGGGGTCTGATGTGCTCCACCGACCTAGGGTCTCGGCTTCACTGCACAGCAAACGCGTCAAAAGAAAACGGGGGCTAATAATTATCGGGAGATGAGGGGGGGGGGAAGAAGAAGAGAAGAAAGAGAGAGAGAGAGAGAGAGAGAGAGAGAGAGAGAGAGAGAGAGAGAGAGAGAGAGAGAGAGAGAGAGAGAGCTGGGAGTTAGAAGAGCACAGTGCTCTTGGTGATGGGGGCTGCGAAGGATAGCAGGTTCTGGGATATGTGCATGAGAATCAGAATATTGGTGATGATGGCAGCAGGGTTATAAGGTAAGCAGCTGAACACTCATAAGAACAGGGAAAGCGTTGGCGAGCAGATTCAAAGTGCATCAGTAGCAGAGAGCCAGTCCTGAGCAAGAAGGTGACGGTACACCTTTTTCTTAAAGCTTTGCATGTGGGGCTGGTCGGGTGGGTGGTGGAACAGGTCTGGTGGCAGGGCATTCCATGTTGCAACGGTGCAAGCAGGGAATCCTTGGAGACAGCTATTCCGGGTGTTGGCAGGCAGGCCAGTTGTCATCTGGTATGGATGGGAATCCTGCAGCTGGAGAGACTGACGGGTAGGTCTTGTCTCGGGGGCACGGTGAGTGGCTGGTTTAGGCAGCATCTGCTTCAGAGGGCTGGATGCATCTAGATAGCAGAGCTTGTAGGTATAGGCAAGTGCAGCTACCAGGCGACGGAGTGCCAGGCTAGGGAGCCAAGTACCTGCTCCGATGATGTGGAGGGCCCTTCGCTGGATCTGGTCCAGCTTCTTAAGATGGGACGAGGGTGAGCCCATCCACACTAAGGGGCAATACTCGAGTGTGTGTCGCACAAAGCCGTTGTAGACGCATTGGCGGCTCTCGGCGTCCAGAATGGGAGACGCTCGCTTCAGGAAGCCAATCCGCTGGTTAGCACGGGAAGCTAGGGAGCGGAGGTGGAAGGAGTAGCTCAGGGTGTCGTCAAAGGTGACTCCCAGGAGTTTCAGCCGACTCTCTTCACTGACCGGTGTGCCGTCAAATGTTGCTATTATCCGTTCGTTCGAAGATTTGGTATTCAATAGAGTATTTGTTCTTGAAAAATGGGTTAGTGTGCATCACTGATTGGAATACTATTTAGCATCCAATCCCTCACATATTCACACTCAGTCAGGGCAACAAGGACTGGCTTTGGAAACAATGTGTTACTTTGAGTAACTGGTCTCATAATGCAAAAGCTCGAAGAGCTGGCAAGCAATGCTAGGCCGCTAGCAGCAACTTGCTCATGATGAGCAGCAACTAACGAAGCAAATGTCCAGTTGGAAGCAATAGAGCTGTATGTCCCCAAGTAGTACCATTAGCAAGAAGATATGATGGCAGGGTTCTAGCCAGGTCAAAATAGTAGGGGGGGGGGGGGGGGAGGGGAGGGGGCATGGGAAACAGTTACCCCGTAACCCATTTTTGCATTTTCCGAAATTGTCTTGCCATGCAAAATGCAATGTACGGGGCGAACCCCCGACTTCACAACAGACAAGTGTGCCTTTATGAACCCTCCAGTAGTGACTATCCACTACACTTTTCGTTGAATGGCATCAAAAGTTTGAGCTACGCGCCGTTTGTAGTTTGCACCTTCGCAAGAAATACTTATGTTCTTCTTTGTAGTTTGTAGCAGTTCCCGGTTAGTTTCGAATCGTATCAGTCCGCTTTACTTAATTTCAAGTCAGTAGAAATTTGTGATATCGGATCGTAAAGCTAGCTCCGTGTAGGAGAGTTTTGAGAGACAAAAACAAAATAATTCATCCTGCGCATGGAACGCGAGGATGTCGTCTTCTTCCGCTCCGAAGTACATTAGCCTCTTCCTTCGATACACCGTTGACGATCCGTTTTAGGAGACTCAGTGCAACATGGAATCCAAACTCAAACGAATAAACGTTCATGTACTTGCAACAAAGAGTTGCATCCAGAACAGTCCAGTCTACCGAGGAGAACAAGAACAGCAACTCGCGTCGCACTCCACTTCGGATTTTGTTGTCGCGGAATTCAAATCGGGATTTTCTCGACGTTTTCCACAAACGCTGTGGTCATGTTTTCGTACTGTTCATATTTGTTAGAATATTTGTTCGTGATTTTGCTATTCTTTGCAACATTGGTAAATAGTGATTTTTGGGTGAACAGGGCACATTTTAGTGCTCTTTTATTGCTTGTTTTTTGGATGAATTGGGCGCAGCATCCGGGGCGAAAAGTGGTACAAGCGTGGTGGTGCTGGTGGTACCGTGTGTGACACCCCTGGACTCTATAAAGCCCAGTGCCTCAACTGCAGCAACACCATAACAGTTGTCTCCTGTCTGCCAGTATTCCGGTGATGGAGTGGTTATTCTGCGGGAAGCAATGACTTTCAGACACACCCGTGACCGTAAACTTGCGAGTCAAGCGGGCTTTCTCATAATACGAGTGCATGCAGTGAAGATGCACTCTCACTTGTTTTGCATTCCTGTTGCCTGTACTGTATGATTTCTTGCTAGTAATACAAAAGAAAGAACAAACTATAAATGTCACCTGCAGTTACACAACATTTTTTGATGTGTGCTGTGCTTATCGTTGTGCCCAGGAGATACTGCTGTTCTGCGAAGTATCAGTGACCTCGAAGCAGCAGAGCAGGAGGCAGCCAGGTTGGGCGGTACGACCGTCATCCATTTCCTGCACGTGGCAATACTTGGTGCGGCGCGCGTTGGAAAGACCAGCTTGCTGAAGGCGTTGCTTGAGAAGATGCACGATGAGAATGAACTCAGCACGCCCGGCATGCGCACGTCCTACGCAACTACAAGCATCTCTGATGACTGTCGATTCACCGAATGCCCAGACATGCCAGATGCTCTGAGTCGACTCTACGTCATCACCATGATGTGCAAACCATCCACTTCGAATCATCCCCAAGACAAAGAGACAACACAAGATGACAGAGAGAGAGCCCCAGCAGGAGAGGATCCTGTGGCTGGGACCCATGCAGGACCTATGGAGGACAGCAGTAGCAGCAGCAGCAGCAGCAGCAGCGACGGGCCAGCAATGCGCGAGGAAATCCACAAGACCATCGCAGGATTTCTCAACGCAGACCGGGTAAAGTACATCTCTGACCGGGCCAACATCCCCGACTATACCGTCATCACATTCCGTGACCTTGGAGGGCAGCAAGTCTACCAATCCGTGCAGCCCCTCTTCATGGCCAAAAACACAACCTTTATTGCCACATACAACTCTTCTCTGGACCTTCTAGAGACCCTTCCCAAGCTCGATAAATATCAGTTCAGCCAGGAAGAATGTATCGAGCGGGCCACTCTACCGGCCAATGCGACTCGCCTAGACCAGCTGCTAAGCTGGCTCGACATGCTGCTGCTGAATGCGAAAGCTGACAGCAGCACAGACCAGAGTGCTGCAGATGTGTTTGTAGTGGGGTGTCAGAGTGACATGTGGAAGAAAACCGATTTGCCTGATCCTTGTAAACTACTTCGAAAGAATATCGAAGGTTCGCCGTATAAGAAGCTTGTCTGGAACGAAACATCGTACTTCAAAATCGACAGCACCAGATCCACTGGAAGTGCAGCACAAGCAGATGAGCTGCAGCGATTGAGAGAGGCCATCATCGACCGCTGCCGGGAGAGCCAACGTAACATCCCTGTTCCATGGCTCCGATTCTGCATAACCATACACACGCTCAAGCAGGAGGTCACGTGGCCTTGGATTTCCTTCAAGGAGGCAAAGTTCATAGCGAAGCAAGTCAAGGCTGTTCCACATGACTGCAGTGACCGGCAAATAGAGCTGCTGCTGAAGTACTGCCACGAAGCAGGCCACCTGGCGTACTTCCCAACTCTCAAGCTGAAAGACACGGTCATCCTGGAGCCCCAGTTCATCCTGGACTGTGTCAATGCCTTTGGCTACATGAAGCTTGACCGAGACATCACAATGCACGAAGAGCGGCGCTATAAGTCTGGGTTCATGACGGAGTCCCTGGCACGCAAAGCTCTCAACAAGATGTTCGAGGGTCAGTCTTACTGCGACCATGCTAAGGCGTGGCAAGCAGTCAGAGCAAGCAGTGATGGGTTCAAGCTCATTTTTGAAATCCTAGAATGGCTCTCAGTCCTGGCAATTGTGCAGGATGAGCACGAGTTTATTGTACCTGCAATCGTCCGGGACATGGGCACGGACCCCCAGCTGCCTTGTTCCTGTGCCTACGTGTCCTTTAAGCACGCAGACAGCGATGAGTTGATGCACTTTCCCGTGTTCCTGTACTGGCAATGCGTGGTGGAGGTGCTGCTGCAGTCACACAATCGCTCGGCTGCCACGCTGTCACGGTGCAGCGTTCGCGTTCGCTGGAACGATTGTCCATGGCTGCACCTGCACTATACACGTTACGGCTTACAAGTGTACGTCGAGTGCGAGGGCCGACCCGGCGGCAGCGGAAAGTCTACGCTGGATGATGTCCGGGCAATCGTGCGCACAGTGCTATGGAAGTGGAGCCTGCAGGTCAAAGTGATCAGCACATTGCCATGCCCCTGCGGAGAAACATCGGGCGAGGAGTGTTTACAGCATGGCTTATCTACCTGCTGCGCACCAAGCTGTGCGCACGCCTTGGACGCTTCCACCCTAGTGGCTGAAGACTACCCACTGTGTACACGTTCAAAGAAGCGGGATATACAGATGATCCGTGAGCAGGCCATGTTCTGGCTGGGCCTTGACCAGGTGAGAGACTTGACCTGATTGAATTCCCGCAGCTATGCAAAAGACGTTACGTTAGAAGCGCGTGAAGCTAGCTTTAGTTCATATGTTTTTGTGTGTGGGGGGGGGGGGGGGGGGGGCACGAACAAGAGACAAGTTCCACCAGGCCTTGTTGTAATTATGTGTTATTTCTGTTTAGGAGGAGAGTTCTTCACACACAAAGTTGCACCATTTCTCTATTTTCTTAAAACTTGCCACGTATTCCCGTCATGTGGATGAGGAGATAACCATTTTGAGCCTACTCTGACTTCGGCGATTATGGCTTGTGCGTGTGCGTGTTTGCATGCATGTGTGCTTTTGCTCGTGTGTATTTACATGTATTTGTGTGTGCGTGTGTGTGTGTGTGTGTGTGTGTGTGCGTGAGCGTGAATGCGGGTGTGTGCGTGCGGGTGTGGGTGGGCATGTGCGGGTGTGTGTGGGTGTGTACGGGTGTGTGTGTGCGTGAATGCGGGTGTGGGCATGTGCTTGCGTGTACTTGGTCTCTTGCAATACCTGCAGGATGCACGTGGAAGGCTGTTTGACCCGAGATCGACCTCTCTTCCTTCAGGTTAGTTGGATGCACAATTCAAACAGATCTGCTACTTCCAAATGATGTTTTGCATGATGTCCGCATTCGTGTGAACCTTTAGTCGCAAGGAAACCGTATGCTGTTCTATTTTCTTTTTGAGCTAGCTATTCCCGTTCGGGTATTCAACACTGCATGAGCACAGGACCATATCTGCTGTGGATAGAATGTAAAATTTGAGCCTCTTCTCACCGCAAGCTGGTGTTTGATCCCAGCCAACACTGCAGTTCTGACTCTGTTTTGGGCCCTGGACAACTGACATTACATTGTCATAGAATTGCTATGGGGTCGCTGTCATATTTTGTCGTCCTGAAGCGAACATCGTTCGTGGCAGAGGAGGAGGAGGGTGCGAGGTCAAAAAATCATAACTTGCTCTACAATGCACTACGTGTACATGCATTAGCATCCCCCCACCTCACAACAGAGCAACCGAGTTTTGCATTAAGCTGGGAGTGCCGATTCGAGCAACTGGTATAATGGCTCGCAGCTGAGCCAGCAAATGACTCCGCTTGGAGCAGGCGAATGGCTCCGCATGGAGCCGGCAAATGACTCCGCATGGAGCCGGCAAATGACTCCGCATGGAGCCGGCAAATGACTCCGCATGGAGCAGGCGAATGACTCCGCATGGAGCCGGCAAATGACTCCGCATGGAGCCGGCGACTGACTCCGCATGGAGCCGGCGAATGACTCCGCATGGAGCCGGCAATTGACTCCGCATGGAGCCAGCGAATGACTCCGCATGGAGCCGCCGAATTACTCCGCATGGAGCTGCCAATTACTCCGCATGGAGCCGCCGAATGACTCCGCATGGAGCCGCCAATGCCTCCGCATGGAGCCGCCAATGACTCTGAATAGAGCCGCCAAATGCTAGATATATAGAGATGCATAACCAGTTGAGAGCATATATTCTCATGGACTATACAGATACCGTCATGTGTGCGCCAGAAACATGAGTTGAGCTAGTGGGTGGGAGGGTGGGAAGGAAATTGTTTCGGGAACACCTGTTCCGCAAGTTGCACGCTCGAAAGTCCAAACAGCAATGACATGAAAGAGACATTGTACAGGATATTGAAGGGCGCGTGCCCACGTGACTCGCGCATGGGTGCAGGTTGGGCCAGCTCGCTGGGCTGGCTGCTAACTCGCGTTAGCATGCTAACGCTCATTTAGCATCCCCCCCCACCTCACAACAGAGCAACCGAGTTTTGCATTAAGCTGGGAGTGCCGATTCGAGCAACTGGTATAATGGCTCGCAGCTGAGCCAGCAAATGACTCCGCTTGGAGCAGGCGAATGGCTCCGCATGGAGCCGGCAAATGACTCCGCATGGAGCCGGCAAATGACTCCGCATGGAGCCGGCAAATGACTCCGCATGGAGCAGGCGAATGACTCCGCATGGAGCCGGCAAATGACTCCGCATGGAGCCGGCGACTGACTCCGCATGGAGCCGGCGAATGACTCCGCATGGAGCCGGCAATTGACTCCGCATGGAGCCAGCAAATGACTCCGCATGGAGCCGCCGAATTACTCCGCATGGAGCTGCCAATTACTCCGCATGGAGCCGCCGAATGACTCCGCATGGAGCCGCCAATGCCTCCGCATGGAGCCGCCAATGACTCTGAATAGAGCCGCCAAATGCTAGATATATAGAGATGCATAACCAGTTGAGAGCATATATTCCATAAATCGGCACTCCCAGAGCGGATCACAAAGTGCAGCTACCTGTGATATTTGTAAGCAGTGCAAGCTCGGTAACGATTGACTAACAGGAACTCGATATCGTGGGCTGAGGCCATTGCCACAGCCACCCATGCTTTGGCTGCTGGTGGCCTCTGAATGTTACTCGGGCAGACATGGCTTTCCACCTTCCCGCCTCTCTGAATATCGAGTCCGGCAGCTGATTCGAAACGAGTGGCCGGTGTATGACGCCAGGCCATAGCCACAACTGATGAGCAAGATTTTCGCAGTTGCTGCAAAGCCGATCGATTGGCATCTGCTGCTGGTGCCGCTAGCTTTTCCAGGTGCTGCCACAATTGCAAACCACTCTTTGCGATTGGTTGGTCTGCTTGATTGACTGTCCATTGCCCTATCCCCGGTTGCAATTGTTTGCGTACCAGCCAAGTGCACCACTTGCATCAGTGAATAGCAGCAAGTTGGGGGACGGCGTCCACTTAGGGTGTAGGAAGAAGGACCGGCCGTTCTACTATTCCAGGAGCTAAGGCCATCAGCGAAGGTATTTGAGGCACTCTTCGGAGAGCTTGATCAGGTAATACGGCTGCCGGTACCAGTTGGCAAGTGACCACAATCTGCAATGTGCGTCCTGGGACTATCACTCTTGTAGCAAACGAGAGCTTTCCCAGAAGATACTCGAGTTGACATTGGGTAGTTGAAGCTGTGTTGAGAGTGGCCCGTAGGAGGTCGTGAAGCTTGGCAAGTTCGTCCATCGGCAGACTGATGTGAGCGCGCGGGTGTCCAGGATGACGCCGATAAACGTCAGGACGTGGGCTGGACCCTCCACTTTTGCTGACGCCAGAGAAACACCGAGGTATGTAAACGCACGGCGCCGAGTAGCGAGTTGCTGGCGAGCTAACACAGGTCCAGAGCATACATCGAGGAAGCACTTTTGCCGACGCCAGAGAGACACCGAGGTATGTAAACGCACGGCGCCGGGTAGCGAGTTGCTGGCGAGCTAACACAAGTCCAGAGCATGCATGGAGGCAGAAACGTTAGTCGAGGTATTTTCCGTAATGGGAAGATGCCAATAACGTCAGGACTTGAGCTGGACCCTCCACTTTTGCTGGGGCCAGAGAAACACCGAGGTATGTAAACGCTCGGAGCAGAATAGCGAGTTGCTGGCGAGGTAAAGTCCAGAGCATGCATTGAGGAAGTAACATTAATTGAGGTATTCCCCGTAATGCAACAGGCGTGGGAGTGCGAACTGCCCGCACACAATCCATTCACTGGCGGATGTGACAGAGTTCCATATAGCTGGCCTGGAGCGTAGTACAGTCTGAAGGGCAGGACGCTCTCATAACAGTATTGATCCTGCCAGCGGTTCGACAAGGGCCACTCCTCCGGGCAGACGGGAATTCGGCAGAATGCACTTTTAACATTGAGCTTAGCAAGATACAGCGGGGCGAGCAATTGTCTAATCAAGTTTGCAGCATTGTCATCTTGACATTGTGGAGAGACACGGTCTGCTGGAATGTAATCGTTGACACTTCGACCCTCCAGGCTTTACAAAGGGTGTGTCGTGTGTAACTTCCCGTTCGTCTAGGAACCGCATCTACGCCGGAACAGCACAGAGGCGAGAAAGGGGGTGAAGAACACGGGCCAGCTGTTTCAAGCCTGCTGCAAGAAACGGATCGGCCAGCTGTTTCAAGCCTGCTGCAAGAAACGGATCGTTGCGCAGAAATATAATCTGGGTTAGCATGTGACCGTGTTAAATTCAATGGATCCCAGTTAGTTGAGTGGTTGCCGATGAAACCTACCACAACCCCACAATTACGACCATGTGCAACATACCTCCGGAGCATAGGGTCAGGATGTGAGTCCAGTAATTTTGAGAAGTGAGAAACTGAGTGCTTACACAGTTACTGATGAGGCCTTACACTTTGCCCTGGGATGCTCCTGTCGGCACTGGAGGTAGCACTGCCTGAGCTGACGCGTGCAAGCGCCGTACTCGTAGTAGCGGCATACGGTTGCGGTACGTGATGCGGATCTGTACTGGTGAGTAGGACGAAATGCGCACGGAAATGCTGGCGAGTGCACTGAGCTGCACTGCTGGCAGGCGGGTCGTGCTGTTCCAGTACACCGCGAGGCGCAGTTGCCACAAGTTGATATTGATAACCTGGCTTTGGAGATTTATTTTATTTTCCATTGCTATCAGGTTCGGCTTAATTCCCTCTGTGCTGCGCTGATGAGTCCACAAAGGACGAAACAGTTGTCCGCAGATTGAGTATTGATAACGTCCAGTTTCTAGGTGGCAAAAACTGGCGATTGGCCGCGACGATCGTGGCCAAATACGTCCACAGGCACTCGTGAAACGCGGTGAGGAACAGTGGAACACAGACCATTCATGAACACTGTCCAGGTCTCAACTCAAGTGATACCGTCATGCAGCCTACGAAGCGCAGTTCTGGGTTCGGATTCAAATAAATGCTAGTGCGCCAGAAGAGCAACATATGAGGGGCTACGGAGTTGGAACGTCGCCGGAGCTGGACTGACTGCAACTGTATCGGGCAGCAGGAAATCGAAGTCCACGAACTCGCCTCTCTGGACGCGATCGAGAAGGGCCCGTATAGGACAGTCAGGTTCACCTGCTGTTGGTGCTGCATGCGCATATGGCGGTCGTCACTGCACCGGGCTCCCAGTAGGGTCCGGCCTGCTGGCGGCGAGCGGCGATACGGATCCAAGTAGAGCGAGGAGAAGCTGGGTGGCGTTGGTGACGGCAGTGGACAACTCCCGTTGTTACTTCCAACAGAAAATCAAAGTCCACGAACTCGCCTCTCTGGATACGAATTACGATCGTCAGGCTCGCGCCTGCTGTTGCAGTGGTGGTGCTGCGTGGCGGCCGTCGCTGCGTTCGCAGTAGGCGGGCGGCGGAGCCAGGTAGAGCGAGGCGATCCGGAGAGGCTGGACGCCGGTTGGTGACGACGACATTGTTTCAAGGCACAAACAAGGGTCGCTGAGATCGCGTGGAGGTACTTCATTTCAGGAAACCTGATGATGGCGCAAGCTAAAAAACCACAGTCGACGTTCCACTGTAGACGACGACATTGTTTCAGGCACCAACAGGCACCAACAGGCGTCAATGAAGTCTGAATTGAAACGCAGAGATACGAGAATGCCAGCTTGAAAGTCTAACGAAAGGAAATTGTTTCAGGAACACCTGTTCCGCAAGTTGCACGCTCGAAAGTCCAAACAGCAATGACATGAAAGAGACATTGTACAGGATATTGAAGGGCGCGTGCCCACGTGACTCGCGCATGGGTGCAGGTTGGGCCAGCTCGCTGGGCTGGCTGCTAACTCGCGTTAGCATGCTAACGCTCATCTTGATTTGTGGTGTCCAGCATTGCAAACTGTGTTCGTTTTGGAGGAGCGAGGGGTCCGTCCGAGTACGAAATGAACCATGTTTGTTTCAGTGGCGACAATAAACTTCTGCAACAAACCGTGTGTGCGTGCCCACCTGTGTGTGTACATGTATACGTTGCATCTGTGTGTGTGTGTGTGTGTGTGTGTGTGTGTGTGTGTGAACGTGTGTGTGTGTGCGTGTGTGTGTCGCGCGCCTTGAGAATTTCGAGCGTATCCGCATCACTGTGAAGTGCATACTGCAAACACTCAAATATTTCGTAACTCGGCTTTCCCTGAACGGAATCGAGTACTCGAAAGGTCTATTCGTATTAGAAGGTTCTCAGTTGTCGGCTCCAACTAATCGAAAGTCGATCCGAGGTCGAATAGTGGAGTTACGGTACTCGCAAGGTATTTTACGTACCGTTGCAAATTTTCACTTCCGCACTTGGGTGCCAATTATTATTATTTTGACCTAAAGGATTTCCCTCTGTTGTGTGACAGTCCGGGCATGCATAGACCTGTGCGACGTCAGGCACAGGTCTTGAGCGGTTAGCTACAGAAGAAAGTAGCGCTCCACGATGAATACTACAAAATTACCATGGATGCGAATTGTCTCAATTTCCTATTTATTTATTTTATTTATTGCAGCATCTCATAGCCCAGTGAGAACACCGGCCAATACAAAGAGAGAGGGTGTTAGCCAACCACGGCAAGGAAGGGAGAAGGGGAGGAGAAGAAAAAAGGAACCTATTGCGCGTGTCATCGTCCAAATTGATGAAGGGAAATTAAAGGCGTGGTCCGAACAGCTTTCATGATTTTCCAGAACGAATTTGGCAGCTATTGGGTATTGAATCCGATTAGGGTATGGCAAGATGTTGAAAAAACCCGTATTGTGCTCGCCTTGGATAGATATGGTGAGCGACTTTGGGGGGGGGGGACTGCTCTCCCACCACTCTCCTTGAGAGGATAGCAAGAGTGATTGTTCACTCTCATGGATTTTTCTTACACGAAGGTCTAATTCTGTTTCTCTATGTGTGTGTGTTGTGCCAACATTTTCAGATGAGTCTCTTGACCAACAGCTCTCTGACATGACAGCATGGGAGAGTGACGTCTTCACAGAACTTCGGCCTGACCTGGTTTCCACGCTAACTCCAGGTGATATGCGTCGCCAGTGTGCGGCTAGGAAGTTGATTACGCGTGCACAGAGTCAGCTATTTGCATCAAACACTGGCCGTGCAGCACAGAATGAGGAATTGCTCGATGCACTAAGCACTGGTGATGACGTATCCTTCCACACCTTCCTTGAATGCATCCGTAACGTCGAGCCACCAGCCAGCGCGAGAAGGTTATTGGCCAAGCTGGAACCCATCGACAAGTTCCGGGCAGCCCGGCAGTACTGCTGAGGCCGCATTAGCGTCTGCAGGAGCATCTGCTGCTGGTCCAGTGAGTAAGTAAAGAGCAGTAGGCTGTACAGGCAGAGGCCAGTTGGGACTTTTGCAGCTCCATAGTTTTTTTCCGTGGTTTTGGCAGCCCAGCTGGCATCAGGCCAATCTGAGGGCTTTAAGTAGCTAGCTAGCAAGCAGTAGGACTAGGAGGAGTAGTGCGATGGCAGTAGGGCAGTAGCTTTCCAGAATGCCTGAGATTCATTGCAAAATTGATGAAGGGAAACTGAAGTTGTGGTCCGAACAGCTTCCATTTGTAGGACGTACGGCAATTTTCCGGAATGAATTTGGCACCTATTGGGTTTTGAATCCGATTGGGGTATGGCAAGATGTTGAAAAACCCGTATTGTGATTTGTGCTCGCCTTGGGTAGATGAGGTGAGCGATCTGGGGTGGGGGGATGCTGGGGACTGCTCTCCCACCACTCTCCTTGAGAGGATAGCGAGAGTGATTGTTCACTCCCCTGGATTTTTCTTACACGAAGGTCTGATATACTGTCCTATTGAGCATTGAGAATGAGTGAGAATCGTTACCTTTGGTACACGTAAACTAGTCGATTATGGGAAATCGTTATATATGCGCCTCGTTAGAATAATGACTTTTAGAGTATACAGTATGTGTGTGTGTGTATGCTGACAAGTCCACAAAGGATGAAACAGTTCTGTCTGTAGATTGGGTATATGTATGTTAAATACAGTGTTTGGTGCGTATAAAAGTATACATGGCATACTGAAATGGAGCCACATGCATGTAGCACAACAGTGATTTAGATGCCAAGAATCCTTGCCAGGTTAGCCATTGCCATGGTATAAGCATACTTAGATCAACCACTGATGATGTACATGTCCAGACTGGAGTGATGCACATCGACACTCTAGAACCTGGCTGTGTTAACCTAACGTATACGGCTGGCCATAAATCATTTTTCGTATGTTTGTTCATGTGTGTGTTTTTATCCTATGTATATCTTGATTAGACGAGGATGAGAAGTGTGTGTGTGTGGGGGGGGGGGGGGGGGGTGTACACTGGAGGTGTGTGTGTGTGCAGGTCTGCACGAGATATGTGTTCATGGGGGGTACTCGGGATGTGTACATGTGGTTGGTGTGCATGGGATCAAGAGTATGTATGCTCCCAAGAGTGTGCAACTCTGTATATGGGGTCTTCGACGGCGAAAACTTACATCACGTGTCTTAGGTATGGTGCGTACTACGTACGATGAAGAATAGCGTGCGCGCAATCCGAATATCTGACATGATCATGCTGGGGAGTTGCATACGCGCAGTGATTTCTGTTAGGAAGGGCTTCTTTTGTAAAGCGGGATTCACAGAAGCTTTTTTGCGATGCGACACGCGATGCGACAGACGCGAAACCGGGAAAACCCCAAATCGCAGCCATGTCGTACCCCACGCAACTGCCGCAACTGGGCCATCGCAGAAGTTGAGCTTGGCTCAACTTTTGCGATGCGACAAGCGATTTGGTGTACGATTTTGACCTTTTCTACAGCAAAGTTGTACAAAGGTTCAAGAGTTGCCTATAAATTTGTACAAGTTGTATCAAACCGCGCGAATATCATGGTGACGTAGCCAAATCAGCAAGACTTTGTCGCATCACTGACTTCTTCTGTGAATGGTATTTCGCGAGTTCGCATCGCACGCGTCCGTCGCAGATCGCGTCGCAGATCCCGTGTCGCATCGCAAAAAAGCTTCTGTGAATCCCGCTTAAGTTTTGTTACTCCGCCGCTAATAACGGGCTGGAAACGTACAACGCAAACAAAACACCACGTGATGTGAGTGAACCCCATAGAATGGGTATCAGGAGTTGCACGCTCTTGGGAGCTGATAATAGAGAGGTTCTGCAAAACGAAAATTCAAACAAACTTTCGCGGCAGTCCTTGCGAAAGTGTGTACGGATTTTCGCACGAACTTTGCTTTCTGCACACTTTCGTAGTTTACACGCGCCAGGTGCACGTACGCCATGACTCGATCTCACGCCAAGAAAGTTCAGTTCGCGTTCCCGGCACGTTTCGCATCCAAAGTTGCGAAAGTCTGTGCGAAATTTCGCACTTCATGACGAAGAGCGAAAGTTTGTACGCATTTTCGTTTTGCAGATACTCTTGCCGGGATGTGTGCATGTGAGGGCGATGGGGTGGGTAGGCAGGGATGTGTGCATGTGGGGGCGATGAGATGGGTAGGCAGGCATGTCTGCATGTGAGGGCGATGGGATGGGTAGGCAAACATGGACGTGCTTTGCTTATTGTCGGTGAAAACCAGCCGCATGGGCTAGTGTGTGTCAGTGCCTTGTACAATTGTGGCAAGTGAAATCCGACACTTGCCATAGGGGACAGCACCACAACTGGACATCAATGATGTATTGCACTGCACCTAATTGGTGCATTAGAGCCGTATGCATCCCAGACAGGTCGAAAGGTCATAGAGTCGATGCACACAGTTCACGGACGTGGTACACATAAGGAGTATTGGCATCCAGTGCCCATTCATATTTCATTATTTGGGAGCACCTTTGAACCTCTCAGGTGAACTTTGACCGTGATGAGTACGAGTACTGACTACTATCATGAGACAGATAAAAGTTGTATGTAACACATGTACTGCGTATGCAGTGCTGCTGCACACTACATGGTTTGTATGTAACACATGTACTGTGTATGCAGGGCTGCTGCACACTGCATGGTTTGTATGTAACACATGTACTGCGTATGCAGGGCCGCTGCACACTGCATGGTTTGTATGTAACACATGGACTGCGTATGCAGGGCCGCTGCACACTACATGGTTTGTATGTAACACATGAACTGCGTATGCAGGGCTGCTGCACACTACATGGTTTGTATGTAACACATGTACTGGGTATGCAGGGCTGCTGCACACTACATGGTTTGTATGTAACACATGTACGCGTGGAGACGCTTTCCACCGCACATCAGAAACCGAAACGACAACTTGCTCGTCTTCTCAAGAACTCTCAACAACGAAGACACTGGCGCACGCAAAGCTACGTGGCACACAGCGCTCCAAAGAAGAAATGCGTAGATCACGTGCATGCATATGAGAAAAACAATGATGTCACGCTGCCATGACGATACACAAGCTGTACTGGCACGCAGTGGACAAAAATAATGGAAAATCAAGAAAAGTCTGAAAATAATACAAACAGTGAAATTCGAAAGTAGAAGTCAAAGGAAGTTCAAAGAACAAGGAAAACGAAGATCTGTGCTGATAGGAACTCGAAGCAATTTCAACCATGTCCTGTCAGAGAGTGTTAGCACCCACAGGGTGAAGGCAAGCCTTGTCAGAGCAGAACCTACACTAGGACGGACTAAAGCTGCAGAACGGACTTTCTGAAGGAATGCAAAGATAAGTAACAATTCGAATTCGAGATAATCAACTTAGAAACAACACCAGCTGTTTTGTAACCTGTAAACTGCTTGTAACAATCAGTGATGTACTAGTAACTACTCCTAGTAAACGCTTTGACTGTGCTCTCGGAAGAACGAAGGATTAACAAAATATAGAATAAACACAGTAGATAAATAATAGTGACACTCGTAAATTCTACAATATCTGGAGTCTTCTGCACAGTACATGAAGAACACACAGATCGCACAGGGAATACACAAGAGAACAGAGCGCACACAGATCGCACAGAGAACGCACAGAGAACGCACAGAAAACACACAGAACGCACACCACTGCATACTGTCTTCAGAACATTCTCCCCCTCTTGATCAGACACGGATCAACCCTGCTTAGAACTCCAGTGGGCTCAGCTAAGTAATCGGGCGAGCGTAGCGCTTGCCGCACACCACTACCTCGGCGACACGCACCTTGCCATCTGCTCCTGGGAACACCTTGACCACACGTCCCAGAGGCCACGGTCCAAGCGGAGTGTCCGACTGCAGTACGAGAACGGCATCATCAGGCTGCAGGCTCTTCTGTGCATGCGGCCACTTGGTCCGGCGGTTCAGGGCTGGCACCCACTCTTGAATGGCTTCACGGGCAGACACTACCCAGAACGTTGTGCTTAGCGACGACAGCGTCTGGTTCGTGCAGCCATGCTGCTGCAGCTCGTGATGGTGCTTCACAATAAGCTGCGTGACGTGATGATTGCGTGGCAAGATCACTGGAAATCTCATGTTGTGTGGCAGCCACTCGGCGTACTGCGTCCGGCCGTCGCATCGCAGCAACCCATCTGCGTCGACCTTGGGGTTGAGCTTCAGTAGCGCTGATCTGGCTGGCACTGCTTGCTTGTTGCGCACACTCTTCAGCTCGTCGCTAAACGCCTCGCTCTGAGCTTGCGCGATCCACAGTTGCTCGGCGTCACTGATCTCTGCTGCTGTCAGTTCACTGGTGATGCGAGTCCGGCCAGCGGAGTTGCCGATGAAGCGCATAACCCACGCTGTCACTCGCACGAGACGCAACCAATCGGAATATCGCTCGGGCTTCAGGCGAAATCCTGGCGGCTGTGCAACAGTTACGAAGCTCACTGCTTCCGCTGCGCTGCTCTGCTTAAACTCTTCAGCGCTCGGGGCTGTCGGTGGACCTGCTAGCAATGCCGGCCAGTCGGCTGAGTCACTGTGGAGAAATGGCGGACCTTCCCACCACAATGAACTCTTGACTAATGCTGAGACCGTAGCACCACGTGACGCGAGATCCGCTGGATTGCTCGCTGTCGGTACATGCCGCCACTGTTGAGGTAGCGTAGCCGTCTGAATCAGTCCAATACGATGGGCAACGAATGGCTTGAACTTGCGACTGGCACTTCGAATCCAGTGGATCACGTCCATGCTGTCTGACCAGAAGACCACCTTGTCCATACTCAACTGCAACGCCGATGTCACTGAGGTTGCCAATTCCACTGCAATCACTGCTGCCATCAATTCCAGACGCGGAATGCTGGTGGCCTTGAGCGGTGTCACTCTCGTCTTGGCGGCTACCAATCATACTTGGACAGTGTCGCTGCTCTTGCTTCTGGCATAGACAACCGCGCCATATGCCACACTGGATGCGTCAGCGAATACGTGCAGCTCCACATCGTCACTGCCGCGTGATCGAATGCAACGAGGAACTGCTACCTTGGTGAGATGAGGCAGTTGCTGAAACCACTCTGTGGCCGCTGCTAGTAGTGTGGGCGTCAGCGTGTCGTCCCAGTCCAGACCTGCTGCCCAGATATCCTGCATCAGGATCTTCCCCTGAACAACAAACGGTGCGATGAGGCCGAGGGGGTCGAACACTGTCGCCAGTTTCTTCAGGAATGCTCTCTTCGTGACGGACTGTTCATGCTCCGGACTGAAGTTGAAGGAGAACACATCGTCCTGAGCGGACCATGCCACTCCGAGTGTCTTCGTTGCCGGTAGCTCGCTGCTGCTCAGGTCGATTACTGAGGCTCTATCGTCGATCGGCACGTTCTTCAATACCTCCTCGGAATTCGACAGCCACTTCCGTGCTTTCATTGACGCTGAGCCCCACAGCTGAGTCAGCTGCTCGTATAGCTGCAGGGCGGTGACTTCATCATCCACAGAGTCGAGGGTGTCGTCCATGTACGTCGACTTCAGTACTGACTCGGCCGCTAGTGGAAGCTGGTTGGCATTGTTCTGGGCGTGCTCCCGCACAACGAACTGTGCCAAGAACGGTGACACATTCAGCCCGAACACCAATCTCTGGAACTGATAGCACTTGATGCGCTGCTGCTCGTCGCGATGAAGAAACTGTAGACGCTGACGATCATTCTCAGCCACTTCAATCTGCAGGTACATTTCCTGAATGTCGCACACAAGTGCCACCGATCGACTGCGGAACCGCAGCAGGATGCAGAACAAATCTTGCTGCAGCTTTGGCCCAGGATGAATTGCATCGTTCAGCGAGATGCCGCGGTGCTTTGCTGCGGCGTCAAAAACGATCCGGACCTTGGTGGTGTCTTTGTTCATCCGAACTACCGGAAAGTGAGGCAAATACCAGCTGGTTGTGGCGGCTGGATCATACGGTATTTCCTTAATGTAGCCTTTCTCAGCGTACGCCTTGATTGTGCCGTTGTACGCTGCCGCTACTGTCTCATTCTTCGCCAGTCGGCTCTCCGTGTTACGCAGCCGCTGCGCTGCCATGCCGAAATTGTTGCTGAGCTCTGACACTTTCTCCGTCCAGGGGATAGCTACCTGGTACCGTCCTGCCGATTGCGTTAGTGACGATGTTGCTGTCTGCAGAGCTGCTGCGTCACTGACAGATAGTGCGATTGCTGGATCTTGGTGGGTACCACTCACTTCCACCTCCCAGAAACGCTGCATCGTGCGGTTGAGCTCTGTGTTTACATCTGACTGGTCTCGTACCACTGACGCATAGCTGTACTGGAGCAATGACGATCTAGCCATTGTCGACGTCGTGGGACCGACACATGTCCACCCTAACACTGTCAGACGCGCCACAGGTTCTCCAGGAGCTCCACGTATCTCTTCCAGCGCACAATGGATGTCTGGTTGGTCAATGCCGATGAGCATATCTACCTCTCTACGCTTCGGCAAGCTGGCAAATGTCACTTCCTTGAGATGTGGCCAATGCCGCTGCTCTGTTGACCAATTCACTGCGTGCATGTTGTCAGTGATTTGCTGTAGCGTGTTCGCCTGGATCTTGCGCTCCCAGCTGCCATCTACGCTGCTGAGCTGCACGTCGACGTCCTGGGTGTCGTACGTTGAGCGCTGTCCGTTTAGTACTCCGACTGATATCTTGGAGCTTGGTCCACTTAGCTGAAGTTCTGCTGCTACTCGGGCGCTGACATACGTCTGCGTGCTGCCGTCGTCCAGTAGAGCATTGATACGCACACGTCTGTTGCCATTGCCGATCATGACTGGTACGGTTCGCAAAGCCAAATTCCCAGCGCCACTGGCTTTCATGGTCGTTGCTGCTGCTTGAGACTCCTGCGCCTCCCCCTCAGTGGCGAGGTACACACCTTGCTTCTTTGTGCTTGGTCTGTCCTTGGGCGGATCTCTGTTCTTGATCTGCTGCTGCCCGTGCAGGAGCCTATGGTGCGTGGAGTCGCAACCATCAACGCCGCAAACTCTCGTCCGTTCACAGTCGTTGCCGCGGTGACCACTCGCCAGACACCGATAACACAGACGCGCTGCTTTGGCCTTGACCCAGCGCTCTACAACAGTCATTCCTTTGAACTGGTCGCACTGCCACACGCCATGGACATCGCCGCATACTTCACACGACTTTCCGCTACGAGCCACAAAAGATCTGTTGTATGGGTGAGATCCTGGCTTAGCTGGCCGGTTGGCAGGCGCATGTGCTGACGCTGCTGGCTGGGATATGCTGATCCCGTCTGCCGTTTCTGCTGCCACAGTCAGGAACTCTGCCTCTTGTTCCAGCCACACTGCTAACATGGTGACTGTTTCTGGCTGCTGTTGCACGAATAGCCAACGCTGATACTGCGCGATCAGCTTCTCATCCAGCTTTCGCAGCAGCTGGTTATACAGAGTTCCCGGACCCAGCTCATGGGAACGCCCTGCATCTGTCAAGTTTACTATTGCGATCTCCAGCAGCTCAGAATACCGCACCAGTTCGCGCTGGCGACCACTGCGGACGGTTGGCATTCTCTCAATGTCCTCCAGCTGCAGAGCAATTTGTCTTCGACTGCCGCCGTACTTGCGCTCAAGCTTCGCCTTTGCCGTTGCATAAGCTGCTGGCGAGTACCCAAGGGCACTGATCGTCTCCAGCGGCTCGCCCTTCAGGTAAGTACGCAACTGCAGCAGCTTGTACGCATCGTTGGCTGGCGAGACATCTACGCATGCGTTGAAGGCAGCTCGCCACTGCTCGTACTCTTTGCGGTTTCCGGTGAAAACTGGAATGCCGACTCGTGGCATCTGCCGCCATGGCTCTACCATTCCACCTGGTGGAAAGTTTGCGTACGGTGCAGGTGCTGTGAACGCTGCTGGTGCTGCGAATGGTGCTGGTGCTGCTACCGGTGCTGGTGCCACTACACTCGGTGCTGACACTGCTGGCGGAAGGCTAGTACTGGTCACTGGTGCTCTTACAGGCTGACTGGTGGCTCTGCCTCCGCCACTGGCTGTCAGTGGTCCAGCCTGACCCGAGTTTACAACCGAGGTTATGCCCCTTGAAGCTGTTACAACAGCCGGCACAGACCTCAACGACATACTATTACTAAAGGCGGCAGCAGGCACAGAACTAGCCGACGTACTGATGGGAGCAGCAGGAGGCACCGAACTAGCGGACGTACTGATGGGAGCCGCAGCAGGCACAGAACTAGCCGACGTACTTGTACTACTGCTACTAGTACTACTGCTACTCGGAGCGCGAGCGGCAGTCCCCGAGCTGGCAGCAGTCCCCGAGCTGGCAGCAGTCCCCGAGCTGGCAGCAGTCCCCGAGCTGGCAGCAGTCCCCGAGCTGGCAGCAGTCCCCGAGCTGGCAGCAGTCCCCGAGCTGGCAGCAGTCCCCGAGCTGGCAGCAGTCCCCGAGCTGGCAGCAGTCCCACTCAAGGAACTCGGTGCCGACGACCCAGATAGACTACTCGGTAAGAGTCCTGACTCCAGACCGACAGGTCCCTGGTGCGGTTCTCGCTTCGGCACAGTATGCATAAATTTCTCTTTTTTTTCTTTTTCTGGTGCCTGTTCACTTTTTTCCTCCTTGTCAGCCTCGCTCTCAGCAACGATCTCCGATCTTTGCAGCAGATCCCGCACTTCCTTAATTCTCTGGGCTCTCTCCTTGCCCGCTGGAGATCTCCCTCCACGACTGGGCCGCGCGGAGCATATCTCGGCGAGCACTTCGCTGGCCTGCTCCAACACGTTATCGTACTTGCTTTGGAGCTCGTCCAGCTCATCGTATATTGCCTCAGTAGGGCGACCTGCCGCTCTCATCAGCTTGCACAGCTCAAGCATCACCCGCACTGCCTCCTCTGCCGCATTGTTCAGTGCATCTATCCCAGCGTTCAGGTCTCTGGCGTCTATGGGCGTGGTCTCACTGTGCAGCTTTGTCAGTATTCCACGTTTGATATTCGTGAAATTGGACTTCACTCGGATCTTTGCCGATCGTAGTTCGTCCATGGTACAACTAAATTTGATACATACACTACAACTAAACTAAACTGAACCTCTAACCATCCTCTGCTACCAGATAATGTACGCGTGGAGACGCTTTCCACCGCACATCAGAAACCGAAACGACAACTTGCTCGTCTTCTCAAGAACTCTCAACAACGAAGACACTGGCGCACGCAAAGCTACGTGGCACACAGCGCTCCAAAGAAGAAATGCGTAGATCACGTGCATGCATATGAGAAAAACAATGATGTCACGCTGCCATGACGATACACAAGCTGTACTGGCACGCAGTGGACAAAAATAATGGAAAATCAAGAAAAGTCTGAAAATAATACAAACAGTGAAATTCGAAAGTAGAAGTCAAAGGAAGTTCAAAGAACAAGGAAAACGAAGATCTGTGCTGATAGGAACTCGAAGCAATTTCAACCATGTCCTGTCAGAGAGTGTTAGCACCCACAGGGTGAAGGCAAGCCTTGTCAGAGCAGAACCTACACTAGGACGGACTAAAGCTGCAGAACGGACTTTCTGAAGGAATGCAAAGATAAGTAACAATTCGAATTCGAGATAATCAACTTAGAAACAACACCAGCTGTTTTGTAACCTGTAAACTGCTTGTAACAATCAGTGATGTACTAGTAACTACTCCTAGTAAACGCTTTGACTGTGCTCTCGGAAGAACGAAGGATTAACAAAATATAGAATAAACACAGTAGATAAATAATAGTGACACTCGTAAATTCTACAATATCTGGAGTCTTCTGCACAGTACATGAAGAACACACAGATCGCACAGGGAATACACAAGAGAACAGAGCGCACACAGATCGCACAGAGAACGCACAGAGAACGCACAGAAAACACACAGAACGCACACCACTGCATACTGTCTTCAGAACAACACATGTACTGGGTATGCAGGGCCGCTGCACACTACATGGTTTGTATGTAACACATGTACTGCGTATGCAGGGCCGCTGCACACTACATGGTTTGTATGTAACACATGTACTGCGTATGCAGGGCCGCTGCACACTACATGGTTTGTATGTAACACATGTACTGGCAAGAGTACATGAAAACCAGAGTGTGCAGCTTGGGGCCTTTTCTGCTATGGGTGTCTGTCACGGCGAAATTCCGTGATTACATCATATTTGGCCCAGATCTGAGGCGGGAAATGGCGTAGTGCGTACAACTGAGCTGCAGTTGTGCAGAAAGAGACCTGCTTGAATCCTGCTTGTACGCACTACATCACTAAAATGATGTAATCACGGAATTTCGCCGTGACAGCAACCCATCCGAGCTGCACACTCTGGTTTTCATGTACTCTTGGTACTGGGTATGCAGGGCTGCTGCACACTACATGGTTTGTATGTAACACATGTACTGGGTATGCAGGGCTGCTGCACACTACATGGTTTGTATGTAACACATGTACTGGGTATGCAGGGCTGCTGCACACTACATGGTTTGTATGTAACACATGTACTGGGTATGCAGGGCCGCTGCACACTACATGGTTTGTATGTAACACATGTACTGCGTATGCAGGGCCGCTGCACACTACATGGTTTGTATGTAGCACATGTACTGCGTATGCAGGGCCGCTGCACACTACATGGTTTGTATGTAACACATGTACTGGGTATGCAGGGCTGCTGCACACTACATGGTTTGTATGTAACACATGTACTGGGTATGCAGGGCTGCTGCACACTACATGGTTTGTATGTAACACATGTACTGCGTATGCAGGGCCGCTGCACACTACATGGTTTGTATGTAACACATGTACTGGGTATGCAGGGCTGCTGCACACTACATGGTTTGTATGTAACACATGTACTGGGTATGCAGGGCCGCTGCACACTACATGGTTTGTATGTAACACATGTACTGGGTATGCAGGGCTGCTGCACACTACATGGTTTGTATGTAACACATGTACTGGGTATGCAGGGCTGCTGCACACTACATGGTTTGTATGTAACACATGTACTGGGTATGCAGGGCTGCTGCACACTACATGGTTTGTATGTAACACATGTACTGGGTATGCAGGGCTGCTGCACACTACATGGTTTGTATGTAACACATGTACTGCGTATGCAGGGCCGCTGCACACTACATGGTTTGTATGTAACACATGTACTGGGTATGCAGGGCTGCTGCACACTACATGGTTTGTATGTAACACATGTACTGGGTATGCAGGGCCGCTGCACACTACATGGTTTGTATGTAACACATGTACTGGGTATGCAGGGCTGCTGCACACTACATGGTTTGTATGTAACACATGTACTGGGTATGCAGGGCTGCTGCACACTACATGGTTTGTATGTAACACATGTACTGGGTATGCAGGGCCGCTGCACACTGCATGGTTTGTATGTAACACATGTACTGGGTATGCAGGGCTGCTGCACACTACATGGTTTGTATGTAACACATGTACTGGGTATGCAGGGCTGCTGCACACTACATGGTTTGTATGTAACACATGTACTGGGTATGCAGGGCTGCTGCACACTACATGGTTTGTATGTAACACATGTACTGGGTATGCAGGGCTGCTGCACACTACATGGTTTGTATGTAACACATGTACCGGTACTGGGTATGCAGGGCCGCTGCACACTGCATGGTTTGTATGTAACACATGTACTGGGTATGCAGGGCTGCTGCACACTACATGGTTTGTATGCAACACATGTACTGGGTATGCAGGGCTGCTGCACACTACATGGTTTGTATGTAACACATGTACTGGGTATGCAGGGCTGCTGCACACTACATGGTTTGTATGTAACACATGTACTGGGTATGCAGGGCCGCTGCACACTACATGGTTTGTATGTAACACATGTACTGGGTATGCAGGGCCGCTGCACACTACATGGTTTGTATGTAACACATGTACTGGGTATGCAGGGCTGCTGCACACTACATGGTTTGTATGTAACACATGTACTGGGTATGCAGGGCTGCTGCACACTACATGGTTTGTATGTAACACATGTACTGGGTATGCAGGGCTGCTGCACACTACATGGTTTGTATGTAACACATGTACTGGGTATGCAGGGCTGCTGCACACTACATGGTTTGTATGTAACACATGTACTGGGTATGCAGGGCCGCTGCACACTACATGGTTTGTATGTAACACATGTACTGGGTATGCAGGGCCGCTGCACACTACATGGTTTGTATGTAACACATGTACTGGGTATGCAGGGCTGCTGCACACTACATGGTTTGTATGTAACACATGTACTGGGTATGCAGGGCTGCTGCACAGTACATGGTTTGTATGTAACACATGTACTGGGTATGCAGGGCTGCTGCACACTACATGGTTTGTATGTAACACATGTACTGGGTGTGCAGGGCTGCTGCACACTACATGGTTTGTATGCAACACATGTACTGCGTATGCAGGGCTGCTGCACACTACATGGTTTGTATGTAACACATGTACTGGGTATGCAGGGCTGCTGCACACTACATGGTTTGTATGTAACACATGTACTGGGTATGCAGGGCTGCTGCACACTACATGGTTTGTATGTAACACATGTACTGGGTATGCAGGGCTGCTGCACACTACATGGTTTGTATGTAACACATGTACTGGGTATGCAGGGCTGCTGCACACTACATGGTTTGTATGTAACACATGTACTGGGTGTGCAGGGCTGCTGCACACTACATGGTTTGTATGTAACACATGTACAGTCAACTTCGCCAATAACGACATTCGGCGGGGCATCAGAAAAGTGTCCTTATTCGCGAAATGTCCTTATAACCGAAGTCCCATTTGAATGTATGTGAACCCATATTTTGTATAGTATGATATGCATATCAAAATGAAGCTCTTTTCTTGCTCTATGTCAATGTGTACTCTATTTTCATATTGCAGTTGAAAGGAACTAAAAATTCAATATGCAAGGGAAATCAATTGAAAAATATGCCTTTTTGAGCCATCTACAGGGCCAGGGACATGTACATGTATGATGATTACTGTACAATCATGTACAACTACATGTACATTGTATACATATAGGTGTGCTGGTAAATCCAACAATTTTGAAGCCAACATAAAAAAGGAAGAAAAAGCCCCCCCCCCCCCCCTTGGCTGCATTTTCTTGCATGTGTGCAATAATATCCATCACCAGTGCACCATAGGTTCTGGTACTTCTGCATGACAGGTATTGTACTTGACTGACAGGTACTTGAAATAGCTGTCAAAAGCCCAGAAAGTCGTTATTCAAGCAGTGAATATGACCACGGGGCACTAAAAGCATGTCGCTATACGCGAATTGTCGTTATTCAGATAGTCGTTATATCCGAAGTTAAAATTTAATGTATACAGTTAGATGGGACTTTGCTCTGGGCATGGAAATTCGGTCGTTATTCGCGAATTGTCGTTATATCCGCAGTCGTTATTAGCGAAGTTGACTGTACTGGGTGTGCAGGGCCGCTGCACACTGCATGGTTTGTATGTAACACATGTACTGGGTATGCAGGGCTGCTGCACACTACATGGTTTGTATGTAACACATGTACTGGGTATGCAGGGCTGCTGCACACTACATGGTTTGTATGTAACACATGTACTGGGTATGCAGGGCCGCTGCACACTACATGGTTTGTATGTAACACATGTACTGCGTATGCAGGGCCGCTGCACACTACATGGTTTGTATGTAACACATGTACTGCGTATGCAGGGCCGCTGCACACTACATGGTTTGTATGTAACACATGTACTGGGTATGCAGGGCTGCTGCACACTACATGGTTTGTATGTAACACATGTACTGGGTGTGCAGGGCCGCTGCACACTGCATGGTTTGTATGTAACACATGTACTGGGTATGCAGGGCTGCTGCACACTACATGGTTTGTATGTAACACATGTACTGGGTATGCAGGGCCGCTGCACACTAGTACATGGTTTGTATGTAACACATGTACTGGGTATGCAGGGCTGCTGCACACTACAGGTAGACTCCCTCTAATTCGAATACAGTATAATTCGAACATTCCGTGTAATTCGAACTTTTTCGTCGTACCGATCTTCTGCAAGTCACTTCAAGTCAAAATCGAATGCATAATTCGAAGTACGAAAAGTGCGCCGGTTGGATAATTCGAACCCAGTCTTCGTACAGAAGAGCTGTTTACAGTACATTGGCTATGTCCTTTGAACGCTTATTTCGAAGTGAGATTGAGTTGCTATCCTTGTAATTCGAAGTTCATTCTTTTCTCCTTCTCTAGCCAAGTGTAGCTCAAAAATCGATCGATGGTCCGCTGCAGGATCGACTATAGCGTTCAAGAAACCCACCTTCTCTCGAAATTTCTTTCAAGCCCGTGCGAGGCAAATTGCAAAGGTTTGATTGAAGACGATGTCTTCCAGGTGGCTGACTCTCTTCGCGGATCTCGATGGCCTTTCTTGCCGCGCCAGCTCGTGCGCGGAGATGTTGGCGCACAAAAACACTATTGTCGTAAATATTGTCTATGCCTATGCTCCACTTCCGTTCTTCAGAACGACGTGCTGCTGTCCGACGGCCTTTCATGACGCGGATTAGGCAGCGCAGTTCTTTTCCGTTGAAATTGTTTCAGGAAAGCTGCAGTGACTGACAACTTCTTCACTAGAAAATGAAGATGTCAAAATGATTTTGTGTCAATCCAGTGGTTTGATGATCCGTTGTACACGACCGGTACGACCACCTTGCACCTATGTTTCGTTGATGCAAATAAAAATGTGCAAAAATATTCAGCATGCGATTTCAAGCATTTTGACATACATATCAGCGCATGGGGCTGCATTTGGATAATTAGAAGTTCTAGATAATTCGAAGTTAGGGCCTGGCAATTTGAGGTTCGAATTAAAGGGAGTCTACCTGTACATGGTTTGTATGTAACACATGTACTGGGTATGCAGGGCCGCTGCACACTACATGGTTTGTATGTAACACATGTACTGGGTATGCAGGGCTGCTGCACACTACATGGTGTAATTAGTCCATTAGGGCCAGGTTCCACTGCTGCTCTGCGGCACTTGGTTGCATGCAGCGGAGCAACGCGGCTCCACTGACACTCGCCATTCGTGGTACCGCGGGCGTGCTCCACGTTTTTTGATGACGTTCTACCTGCCTGCGCGGGCGAAATCAAAAAAGCATACCTTGACCGGTATGGTGTGGTTTGCTGTGTGTTATCATTGTTGTTGTGCTACAGGTGCAAGATTCACTGCTGTCACGCTGGCAGAACGACCCTCATCGCATGGACCGACGCCAGCTGGCCCTCATCTTCCTGGCGCATGCGTCCGACGTCCTCGAGAATGCGTTTGCCCCACTGAGCGACGAGGATTACGAGGTGGCAACGCGGCGAGTCCGCGAGCTGCTCGATCTCGACCCGGAGGTCGAAGCTCTCAAGCCCAACGCCCACGAGATGACCTGGGCCGTTGCCGCCGCATTCACAAAGTAAATCATGCCACGACAGCTTGCGTCGCACCGACATTCTTTTTCAGGTACTGTAGTCGAATACTCGGACGTTGTCCGTGTGCTGTTTTTTAGCCTGTCGGTCGGCAACCTCTGGACTCTCATCACAACGATCATTGCCTGGTTGTTTCGTCCGTTCACTTTGTGTTTGTGTGCCTCCATGACAGTGGCAAGAATGGTGTAGCTGCGCCACTGCTCTCTATCCCACCATGGCTGGGTTTCTGATCTGCCAGCGAAACTTGTGTCGTTTTGCACGCCCAGCCCTGTACTGGTCAGAACTGTACATTTGTATACATAGCATACCTTCCACCCTCCCCCCCCCCCCCCCCCCCCCTCGTGCCAAGTACAACCTCTGCTTGCCTTTCTAGTCCTGTGCATGTCGTCTGCTGTTGCTCACACTTAGATTACTACTGTTGTCTTGATCCTACCGTGCTGTGTGTGTGCCCAAGAGTGCAAGCTCTCGCCTCGTCTCTCATTAGCTCCAGCGTACCCTCCCTTCCCCCCCCCCCCCACGGGTGTCCCACGGTTCCGCTCTCTATCTCTGCCTATTTATCTCTTCTTTGTTTACACCCTGCCCCCAGGATCGGTTTACTCCGCTGCTGGTCTCCATTCTATGTGTGTGTCCCCAACCCCAGGAGCGTTCAATGTATCCCTTGCTGAGCATTTAGATGAGCAGATGCTTTTAGTCCAACCCCAGTAGAGTTGTTTATTAGTTTTATCACGTGCGCTGCTGCCGGCTGCATTACCTCGCGCCATTACTGTCGTTCATTTGCTTGCTGTGTAACCTACCCTAACTCGACTAACTGTCTCACGTGGCCTACCGCCACCGCGGGCACAGTTTGTTGGTGAATGCTCGTGCCGCCGTCGCCCTAGGCCAATGTAACAAGATAAGCATTTTATCTTCTTCGTTTTACGTGCATGCCTTGCCCTCTTTTCTCGTTCCGCTCTTCTGCGGAATGTTGTGTCTACGTCTGTTCCGTTGGTCCTCGCGCTTCTTCTGACCCTCACGTGCGTGTTCGCATTCGTTATTTTGATTGGCCCCCGGTGGCGTGCCGACTGTGACCGCCACTGTATTGTTTTGTTCGTGGATCAGCTTGCACGCTGTCTTAAAAGTGTTTGCATACGCTCTCCGCTGTCTATTGTGAATGTCTATATCACTCTCTCTCTCTCTCCCTCTTTCCTGTGGTTTTGTCGGTTGTTGTTTTAATGTGTCCTTTGTGTAGTGTCCGTTACCAATTCATGCTGGATGTTGTTTCAGGCATGCTTGAGAAAAGCTTACCCCCTCCGCGTTTTTGTGTTGTGAGTCTGTGTAAGTCTTTGTGCATGTGTGTGTGTGTGTGTGTGTGTGTGTGTGTGTGTGTGTGTGTGTGTGTGTGTGTGTGTGTGTGTGTGTGTGTGTGTGTGTGTGTGTGTGTGTGTGTGTCAGCTAGTCCGGTTAGCGGGTGCACTAACGCTAGGTAGTGGCTGGATCTGTTGCTCGGCTGCTTGAAGGTGTATTGTCGTGTCAGCCACCTTTGTTGGTTGCGGGGCCATATACATTACATAATATAATTATTATGTTGTTGGTTTGACAGCATGAAACAAGGTGGAGGACATTGTGTTGGGAAACAGTGACCTTACCACAACCATCCACAAGTTAATCTAATACTAGCACTGTACTTCAGTACTAGTATTGGATTTTCTAATACCATGTATGTAATGTACATCCATGTATGTAATTTACGTCCATGTATGTATGTGCTTTCTATTGGAAGTATACATGTACCTGTTGATCAATGGACTGCCCAACAATATCAGGTCCATGCACTGTGATTTTAGCAATCCAGAATAATATTGTTACTTGTTGCTTGTCACCGGTTACGTATTACCTCAGTTCCCTGGATGCATGCAGCAGGGGTAAATGCAGTTGGATCCAGGTCCAGAAAATGATGATGATGCCGTGAATTTGTTTCTGCACGCTGTCCTCACCTGGGACGTGCATTGCTATCGCTTTCAAGTCAGAGAAAGTGTGAATTTCAGGGGTAGTCGGCCGCTGCATGCATGCGCGGCTGTCCACAGTTCCCTTTTGAATCTCTCCCGTCCCGGGGGACACCCATGTGACATACAGTTACTGGCATTGTGTGTGTGTGTGTGTGGAGGGGGGCACTTGTACGCTGAACATTCCATTATCCTCATAATACTAAAATTTTGACTAGTTTGAGGGAAAGATTATTATTATTATAATAATCGCACACCGGCCTGTTTGCTAGATGATCAGTGTATGGTGGCTCCAGCGTGCATGCAGGAACATAGTTTGTCCTCCTGTCAACCATCACCAAAAAAGTAGCTGACATTTAACACGCGCTTCAAGTTCACTATTACAGTGAATGTATGAGTTTGCGGGTGAAACATTTTCTCTTTCCTACAATGTGATCACTACTCTAGACTAGAGCTAAGTACAAAAGTAAAAATAACTGTCAGTGCCTTCACCAATACATGTACTTGATAAAGTGTGTGGCGACGACGACGGTAAAATAATTTTGTGACCGCTAACGGCTGAAACTAAAGTGCTACATGTGCATGTATGCAACAGTTATGTACATAATTTTAGTAATAAAAAGAAGAGATAAATCAGTAAGAAAGGTTTGCTCCCCACACCGGAGCTCGCGATAAATCTCGCGATAAATCAGTAAAATCGCGATAAATCAGTGATGTGAAAACGATGTTCAGTGTTTTGGCAGAGCTACATTTTGTATGGGAACGAGCTTGTCAGCTCGAATGCCTTTTTTCAACAAAAAGAGAGAAAAGATCATTTTTAGATAAACGCACTTTGGGTGGAAAAGCCGACCGGTCAGTTGAAGAACTAGACTTCAGAATTGTAATAACAACATACAGTAGGAATTTCAAATTTGGACTTCACGGAGAATTTCAAGTTTTTAGGAAATTAATAGAGGAGTCCCGGTGGTGTGACTGATGATTTTTTCTTTCTTTGATATCTGGCTTGCAAGTGTTGAGTTTCGGAGAGAAAAGAGCAGTACGTGGCATGTGGCCTCTAATTTCCTAAAAACATACAGTAGGAGTTGTTATAAACAGGGGGAAATAGCCACAATATTCAATAGCACCTATTACGTCCTTCCTGCAGGATATGCGCAACTATTTGTGCCACGAGACAGATCATTAAAATGTAGACACTCATTAAAACCGCCTCGGAAAACACGCAACAACGCACAGACACACACACACTGGATGTGCTGTGGATAGACTTCATCAACAGGTCCCAATGCCATGGTGCAAACCGCACCTGCAGCTACCCAGGAGCGCGTCAACTGTCTCGGCTGAATGCTCAGGAGAGTAGTGATAATCAGAAGAAGATTGATCAGGAAGAGGATCAGCCGTCAAACGCTTGCCGTTGACTGGAAGAGCAGAGAAAAGAAATCCGCTGCCCAGCCATAACTAACGCTCACTTGCTGCCTAGATCAGAAGAGATGGGCTCAATCTCCAGACAAGTAACCATGGTAACTGCTTTGGCTGTCTTTAGTCTCATCAGCAGAGCTCTGACTGTCTGAGTGACTGGCCAAACAATTGCAAAAAAAGACGCAGAAATAGAGACAGATAACGTTACATGTAGACAGGCCGACACCTAGATATTGTCTAGAGAGCAGCAGTTGTAACGGCTCTCCATGCGGTGCGGCGATGCGTTTCCCGTCCTAGCACGCAGCCACTTTATTTTACTCTCACTCGACACACCCTCTGCCCTTGATTTCTCTATCCTTTGCAAAGCAGCTCGTCCCAATCGGGATAGAGCTCGGCGCGTAGGCGCTTCACGTAGTCGCCAATGTTGGAATACTTGCCGTCCATCAGGCGACGCGGGTCAGAGTCCGGGATCAGGTAGTAGAGAGACGCCATCATGCCGAACACGCCGGCATCGTATGACGTCATCGTGTCGCCCATGACGTAATGGCTGGAGCCCAGCAGCGCGGACAGCGCGCCGAGTTCCTTGCCGACAATGGTGGCCACCTCGGCGACGGAGTGCCGGCCCAGGCCCTGCGCGTTGAGCACGGCCTCGAGCGTCTTGCCGACCTTCAGGCGCACCATCCAGTAGAAGAAGAAACCGGGGTTTGTCTCTAACATGTAGGGCATGTCCTGCATGTGTCTAACCCTGGCATGATGGTGAGGTAGAGCCCTGCACAGTGACACAACATCAATGATGAGGGTAAGTAGATACCCAGTCATCCCCAATCCCCCCCCCCCCCCACACACACACACACATGCACGCATGTGCGCACCAGATGAACGTAAGAACTTGGTTTGGGGTCAGATCCTGACCGTGTTTGTGGTCAGAAGGTCATGACTGTGTGTTTGAGGTCAGCAGGTCATGACCGTGTTTGGGGTCAGAAGGTCATGACTGTGCTTAAGGTCAGAAGGTCATGATGGTACTATCATAGTGGGCGGATCGTTTTTATTCCTATCCAAATTAACAACAGCAGCCATCAAAAAGAAGGCATAAAGCAACAGCAAATGAAGGCATGGATGCAAGAAACACCCAATTTACTAAAAATGAGATTATGATATCATATTTTTAACTTCCCTCAAAATCTAAAGTACTCTTCCTCTCCTCTCCTCTATGCGCTCTCACAGCCGACTCACTGCTACCCTCGGTAGCCATTACACACACCAACAGCTATACAAGGAAGGGTTGCAGGTAGATACAGGTAGACTCCCTCTAATTCGAATACGGTATAATTCGAACATTCCGTGTAATTCAAACTTTTTCGTCGTACCGATCTTCTGCAAGTCACTTCAAGTCAAAATCAAATGCATAATTCGAAGTACGAAAAGTGCGCCGGTTGGATAATTCGAACCCAGTCTTCGTACAGAAGAGCTAT